TGTGTGTGTGTGTGTGTGTGTGTGTGTGTGTGTGTGTGTGTGTGTGTGTTTGTGCTGCCACCCAACGCCTGCCTGCCTCTCTCTCTCTGCACATCTGCAGAACATCTGGCTGGGGTGGGGTGGAGGGAGGGAGGAGAACGAGAGAGCCGCGCGTGAGCCATCTATCGTGGGATCCTGCCAGGCTTGCACCGCCGCCCGTCTCCTCCTCCTCCTTTTGGGCCAGTGCAGAGGACTACAACTCCCATCGGCCTCGGCCGCCCCTCCTCTGGCTCCTCCTTCTGCGGGGCTCGCCTCCTCCCAGAAGCCCCGGGAGCGAGACGGGAGGCGCGGCTCCTTCCTCGTCCGCCTTTGCGCAGCGTCTCTCCCCGGGTTTAGCCGAGCGTGCAGACAGGGACTGGCCGGAGCCGCCCAGGGCTGGGAAGGCCGAGGCTGGCCGGGCAAGCGAGCCGGAGGAGGGAGCCATGGGGGCGGCCCTGAGTACGGTGAGTGGCGCAGCTTCAAGGGGCTCCAGCCGCCGCTTCTGCCTTCGCCGCCTCCGCCTTCCCCGGGCGCGGCTGGGGGAAGGCGCTGCGCAGGAGACTCCCCGCTCGGGCTCTCGCGGGGGGCGTCGGTGCAAGACCCCCAGCCCCAAAGGGTACCCCGGGGGTCCCCTCGCCGGGTCGGAGAGAGGGGCGCCTGGTTGGAGAAGGGCGCAGAGAACGCTCTTGCCCGCCCCGCCTTCCTTCCTCCTTCTCTCTCTCTCTCTCTCTCTCTCTGTAACACCTCTCTCTAGGTCTCTCTCTCTCTCTCACACACACACACTTTTTCTTTCTCTGTGTATGTCTCTTAGTCTCTTTTCTCTCACACACTTCTCTCTGTTTCTCTCTCTCTGTGTATCTTTTTCTCCCTCTCTCTCTCTCTCTCTCTCTCTCTCTGTATGTCTCTCTCTTTCGTTTTCTTTTTCCCCTCTGCTTCCCTACTCCTTCCTTCTCCTCTTCCTTCCTTCCTTCCTTCCTCCCTACTTCCTTCCCATTCTCCTCCCCTTCCTGCCTGCCCCCTTTCTCCTTTTCCCTTCTTCTCCTACTCCCCTTCCTTTCTTTCTTCCCTACTTCCCTTCTCCTTCCTTCCTCCCTTTCTCCTCCCTCCCTCTTCTCGTTTCTTTCTTTTTCCCCTCTGCTTCCCTACTCCTTCCTTCTCCTCTTCCTTCCTTCCTCCCTACTCCCTTCCCATTCTCCTCTCCTTCCTGCCTGCCTCCTTTCTCCTTCCTTTACCTTTTTCTCATACTCCCCTTTCTTCCCTGCTTCCCTCCCTCCTTCCTTCCTTCCTTCCTTCCTTCCTCTTCTTCTCCACTTCTTTCACTTTCTTCCCCTGCTTCCCTTCTCCTTCCTTCCTTCTCTTCCCCTTGCTCTCTCTCTCTCCCTCCCTCCCTTCCCTTTCCTTCCCCTTCTCCTCCTCCCTTTCCTTTCTTCCCCTCCTTCCCTTCTCCTTCCTTCCTTCCTTCCTTCTCTTCCCCTTGCTCTTTCTCAGGGCAAATGGCCCTGCCCAGCTTTGGAGAGATTGGTGTCCAACCCTTCCTTGAGGTTGAAGCTCTTGCTGGAAAGGCCTGGCTCCTTCACTCCTTCACCAAAGATGCTCCCGGATCCTGGAAACTGATGGGAATGATGGCTTCCCATCAAATCTTCTCTTTTCTGGGACCTGGAATGGAGTGGAGAAGTGACTGTCTATGTCTGGGGTGAATTAACCATGGTCTTGGTCTTTGGGCTAAGATCCAGTTTGTGCCTTAAATATATATTTATATGGGTGAGGGATATATTTATTGTCGTCTTCCCAAACTTACTCTGGAAGTGTCATGCCCTGTCTGAATCCAAGGAGGAGGAAGACGAACAGCTGAGAGGGAGTGAGAGTGTGAATCCATTGGCTGTGGAGGAAACTGGGGAAGGGCAGAATCCAGCTGGGCAGAGCAGGAGAGAGGTAGAACAAGGGAGAAGGGGTTCAGAGGAAGAAGACCCATGCCCACCCCCTCTTCATCCTAGGGCATGCAGGGAAGAACAGAGAAGGGAGCAATGGGGGGGTTGTGTGGCTTATGGGGGAGGAAAGGGCCCTGATTCCCTTCATTAGCCACACCTGGAAATGAGAGTTTAAAAGAGCTGCATGCTGATTGCAGCAGCTGCTGGAAGCAAAAGTGACTTTATCTTGTGTTGACTTTGGTTATATGTGTTCTTGGCGTCTTCCCAAACCATGTGAGTTTTGCCGTGCTTTCAAGTCTGAAATTCTTGCTCCTGCCCTGCCCAACTAAACAGTTTGGCTTGTTTGGACTTTTAAGTTACAGTTTGTGTTGCTCATGTTTTGGACTTGATTCTCTGCAGCCAAAGGCTGTTCCTGGGGGAGTTTTTCTCCAGCCAGAAGGTAACCAGGACATTGGGGGGCAGAGTTGGAGCTAATAAAGGGACTCCTACTGATTATCTGACTGCGTTGCCTTCGTGCCACGCCCCTTTGGGCCATCACAGGAATAGATAGGATTTTGGCATCTTCAGCCTTTTCTCAACTGTGGCAACTTGCAAGGTGGGTGGACTTCCAACTCGCAGAATTGGGGGATTCTGAGAGTTGAAGTCCACTCACCTTCAAGAGGCCAAGGTGAAGAAAACCCAACACTGACGCCATCAAAGTCCATCTGTGCAAAGCCTGGGAAGAACGCAAAGGCCTCCACCCACAACTCTTTGCCACAAATACTCTAAACAACATTTGGGCTGTTGAGCGCAAGGAATCTTTTTTTTTTCCTCTCCCACACCATGCCAGAAATAACACTTGGTGTCCTTTCTCCTGGGACTGCAGAGCCAAAGGAGAGAACATTATGTTTTCATGTTTTGATCTCGATCCTGGGACTACCAATTTCGTTTTGCTGGAAGCCTCTTAGGGCATTACAGGGTTAGGATCTCCTCTCCTCCTTTAAGTAGGTCTAATGGGATTTTATAATTGGTTAAGCGCTGGCTTTTTAACTTAACCTGAATTTTAATTAATTAAAGGAAGGAGTTAAAAGCAGCTGGCAAGGGCCACTAACGTATCCCTGCTACTTAGATTTTATTAAAAATAAAATCTCATTCCAAGCGAGCTAAGATCCAGGAAAATTAGTTTCCTAAAGCAGATTTCCAGTGCTTCCTTTCCAAAATGTATATGTGTGTGTGGTTTTTTTAATGTTCTGACCAAACCTACAATCCTGTTTTCCATTCAGAACTAATTAATGGAATCTGAACCTGCTTAACTTCCAACCAACTAGTATGAGAAATAATCTTTAAATTGCAAAAAAAGAAAAAAAGTTATTTTTTCCTAGAAGGAGCAACAAACTTAAATGAACAAGAAGCAATAGATGGAAACTCATCAAGGAGAGAAGCAATCTAGAACTAAGAAGAAATTTCCTGACAGAACAATTAACCAGTGGAACAGCTGGCCTCCAGAAGTTGTGGATGCTTCATCATGGGATGCTTTTAAGAAGAGACTGGACAGCAATTTGTCAGGGGTCTTCAAACTTGACCGCTTTAAGACTTGTGGACTTCAACTCCCAGAATTTCTTCCTCCAGTCATGTTAGCTCAGGTATTCTGGGAGTTGAAGTCCACAAGTCTTAAACTTGCCAAGTTTGAAGGTCCTTGATATAGGTTCTCCTGCTTGAGCAGGGGGTGGACTAGAACACCTCCAAGGTCCCTTCCAACTCTGTTATATTCTGCTCTAAATATTTGCACTTTATCCTATTGTGTACAGTAGGGTATCAGGAGCAAGATAGTCTCTAAAAATAAGCCAGCACCAAGAATCGCTCTGTAGATTTTAGCTGTAGATGCAATTAGGATTAGCTGTAGATGCATTAGGATTGCTAATGCAATCCTAAATTGTATTAACAGAGGGATACAGTCAAGATCAAGGGAAGTACTAATACCAATCTATAAGACCACACCTAGAGTACTACATCCAATTTTGGTCACCACATTATAAAAAAGATATTGAGACTCTAGAAAAAGTACAGAGAACAGCAACCAGGATGATTAGAGGACTGGAGGCTAAAACATGAAGAACGGTTGCAGGAACTGGGCTTGGGTAGTCTAGTAAAGAGAAGGACCAGGGGAGACATGATAGCGGTCTTCCAATATTTGAGGGGATGCCATAGAGAGGAAGGGGTCAAGCTATTTTCTAAAGCTTCCTGATAGCCAGACAAGGAATAATGGATGGAAACTGAACAAGGAGAGATTTAACCTGGAAATAAGGAGAAACTTTCTGACAGTGAGAACAACCAACCCATGGAACAGAAGTTGCCCTCGGAAGTTGTGGGAGTGCCATCACTTGAGACTTTCAAGAAGAGATTGGACTGCCATTTGTCAGAAATGTTATAGGGTCTCCCGCTTGGGTGGGGGGTTGGACTAGATGACCTACAAGGTCCCTTCCAACTCTGATTATCTGTGTCTGTATCTGTAGAGATGTGTCTAGGGTTTATTTGGGCTGGCTGACCTCAAGAAGCAAGATTTTCTTTTTCTCATTTGGTGACGCCTTTAATTCACATGCTTCACTTGGCTTTATGGTGCCAGGCAAAATGCATCTCTGCAGGCTTTCCCAAAGGTCACAGATACTTCCAGAGAGATGTTTCACTTGTGACATTTTGACGGATCTATTGTGCATTTTCTACAGTCTTAATTGAGATGCCTATGACCTGGATATATTTGAAATTCCAGCTTCCCTAGTAAATTTCCATCGAAGTCTGCTGTCAGAAATTCCAAGAATGTTTAGTGAATTTCACTAGATGCTCCTTGGGTGAGACTGTTGAAGTTGTCTTGAACTTAGTGCTGTCCACCTATTTTCATCTTACTAATCAAAATAATTTAATTGCTACCTATTCTGTTACCTAACATAGCATATAATTAATGAACTATTGCTCATTACTGACTAATAATAATCAATTAATCTCATTTCAAAGTCTCATACCTTCACACCATCCTCCAGTAATGCCAAAGGTACCTAAGGATCTGTATACTGTATTCCCCCAAAAGTGATAAATTGAGACAGTTGACATCAGTTGTGGGAATTGACAACTTGCTTTCTGAAGTAGTGGGAGCTTCATCACTGGAGGCTTTCAAGAAGAGATTGGACTGCCATTTGTCAGAAATGATGTAGGGTCTCCTGCTTGGGTGGGGGGTTGGACTAGATGACCTACAAGGCCCCTTCTGACTCTGTTAATCTAATATAAATTATGATATAAATTACAAGAATTATCCAGATTGCTTAGGATTGTGTGAGTCAGGACAACTTGAATTGTATCAAGTTCCTTTGCAATGGATCAGAGAAAGTTACTTGTGGAATGGACTAACGTGAAGAACACAAAATGCATTTATTAAATCTCCATTCTGCATTTCCATGCAGCTGTGTTCAACCCACAGTGAATCCACACAACACACAATTATAGGATAAACAGGCCTTGCTCTTGCTAAATCTCTTGCTAAGTGTTGGAATGATGTCAGAGCAGAA